TAGAAGCTACACTATCACTGTAAAAATATATAATGCGTAGAAATGTTTGTAGCACGGTTCATTGGGCCTGATAATCACTGTAATAATATATGATGCGAAGAAATGTTTGTAGCACGGTTCATTGGGCCTAATAAATACATTTTAGTAATTTTGTTGCAAACGTGAGTAAAAAAAACTAATGAAACATATTATACAAAAAAATATATACAATCGAAAATCATATTAGTTAATATTTAGCGTTTTAATGTTTTCTGTGATCATTACACTTATTATGACGTAAAAGTTAAACTATCATAAAATGTTTATAAATTATGTTTTATGCGACTGCTGCGAATGAAATTCGCATAATTGGGTCTTACACAGAAAAGTATGTCTCAAAAATAGGACAATCTCCCATAGAATGAAATAAGAGAAATAACATGCTCTAATTAATTAATGTTTCTATCAAAATAAAAGTGAAACGAACAAGGAACACACGAACTCATAACACACTTAAAGAAAAAAAGACAACGTATATCATATAACTTAATACTTTGTTTATTGTTCGTAAAGTAATAACTAAATGGACAAGTTCTGGGGAAATTATCGCTAAGCACGTAAGTGTTTAATGTATAGGGATGGGCCGAGGAAAAAATGGCCGACACTCATCATAATCTCAAATCTCTTTTATAACAACCTATGAACCGTTTATAAACACCAAACTTAGGTTTTTGAAAAACGTCGTTAAATTAGAGAACTGGCAAGTAGCGTAACAACCAAACGTTCTGCTGATTATTCTGATTCTGGCGTCAGAAGGGCTAGCTCACCAATGCTTGAAGCTGTTACGATGATTTACATCCAAAATGTTGCATTTTAACTTGGAGAGTGCAGAAGCAGTGTAGCGTTTCAATAACATCAACACATGATTATCGATCAAGACAACTCATCACTCAGGCTGAAACTGTTGTCTTCGTAGAGACTGACATTCATTGGTATTGTTTAATAAAAGAGGAGGAAACAGGTAATAAAACTGTTGTCTTCATAGAGACTGACATTCATTATAAGATATTCATTGGTATTGTTTATCTTATAATGAATGTCAGTCTCTATGAAGACAACAGTTTTATTACCTGTTTCCCCTCTTTTATTAATCATTGGTATTGTTTAATAAAAGTGGGGAAACAGGTAATAAAACTGTTGTCTTCATAGAGACTGACATTCATTATAAGATAATCATTGGTATTGTTTAATAAAAGAGGGGAAACAGGTAATAAATTAAAATAATAATAATAATAAAGATGATGTAGGGATGGCAATGCCAAAATACAGAAACAAGATAGGGATAAATACACAAAACCATACAAAAATCCCTACATAAGAAGCCACTGAGTCAATGTTATAAAATTATGGGAATTGTACATTGTAAGACTTTATAGCATTATCCAGTTTAAATGTCTTTATCCAAACGTGAATTCATGCAAATGAAAGGAATTTAACATTTAGTTGTAGATAATAGTTTTTCTTGGAAATATTTGGCTAATTTTTATTACTTATAAATAGATTTGATGAATTAAAACAAAAATCAAGCCTTTTTCGAGTGTTTTTTTTTATTCAAGTGTTACACCTAGACACTACTAAGTGTCTGTAAATAACTCAATGCACTCTATAGAAGTGATTTACATTTAAGAACGCATGTCTATCGGTATTTTGATTTGTATGGCAATAGAAAGTCTTATCTGGGAAACCATAAAACCCCTTAAGTTATAAGCAGTACCTCACAGTAAGACTACTGATCGTTTTATTTATTTATAAGTGGCTCACTATTTTAGCTAAATCACAACTATGAAGGTTAAAATCAGTCGAAAATTAATGATTTACGAGAATGAGCGCAAAGTATCCTTAGTTGTTTTCCTGGTTGTTTGTTTATAATTAAGCACAAAGCTACACAATGGGCTATCTGTGCTCTGCCCACCACGAGTATCGAAACCCGGTTTCTAGCGTTGTAAGTCCGCAGACATACAGCTGTGCCACTGGGGGGCTAGTTGTGTTCTATCACAAGGTTACTGGAAACGCAATAAAGGCAATTTGTTTCATAGCACTGTTTTCATGATATTCATTCCCAAACTAATAATCTAAAGCAGTGCTTCTCAAGCACCAGCCTTCCCCCCCCTCCCAGTGGCACAGCAGTATGTCTGCAGACTTACAACACTAGAAACCGGGTTTCGATACCCGTGGTGGGCAGAGCACTGATAACCCAGTGCGTAACTTTGTGTTTAACTACAAACTAACAAATCAACCACCAGTCCGTCACAACCACACTACAAACAAGCAACTCAACCACCAGTCCGTCACAACCACCTTACCGATCCTCAGGATTTCACGAAAAAACAAACAAACAAAAACTGACAGAATATTCTTAAGTAAATCGTAATTATTTTTCGCAGTACTGCATTTTAGTGGTGCAGGACATTTTAGGGAAGCAGCGAGCCGGTCCCTCGTGTCGGAAGAGACTGAGAAACGCTGATCTGAAAAAAATTCACGAATAACCACACACAAATATTATTCTTGTTTACTTTACTTCTATTATAATATGTAGAAATCGGATAATGAAAACTATTTGGAAAACCTATAAAGTGCAACTAAGAAAGATGATAACTAGAAAAACATAACCCCCCCTTTTTCTCACCCCTCTCATGAATAAATGTATTGTTTTACTGTTTTAGGCCTTAGATCGCTACACGTGTGACTGTTTGTTTAAATGTAGACAATTTTAAACAATATCTGCCATTTTTATACAAAAATATGTTATTACCTACAATATTTTTTATGACTTAAATTTTTAAAGATATACCCGTAAATTGCAACCCAAACGTATCAAAATAGTATTAGAAAACAAGACGCTGGTGAAATATTCATGTTTACAGTGTTATTCCACGAATATATTTTTAAAAGAAAACAAAGTGTTAAGTCATATAAGTTGTTTTTATTCTTTAACTATTTTGTGTTTCAACGCAATGGCATGTGCTCTTCATAATAAAATAAAATATTAATATAAATTATGTTGCTCAGGCCATGCTAATGCCCACTGAGCACTAATAAGTTATAATAAGATCAAGAGCGTGTGAGACAAAAAATCAATAGTTAGCATTTTCTAAAGAGACAAACGTATCAACCATTTTATAATCAAAGTCTTTAAACATTGTGCGAAAGAAAAATCACCTTTATTCAAGAGTGTAATATTAAACAGTTATTTTTTGCATAGTTGTCCTGACACAATTAACCATGATTCCTCTTAGACCTTGCCTGCACTTTATTTTAACAAACGGTTAATTCAAACGGTAGAAAGTAGAAAAGGCATCCCTTCGGCATACTGGTCTAACGTGGATCCTGCGGTTAACGCGCTCTGTGAATCCGTGTATTCATGATTCGCGTCCTGTTGCTACAGAAACATGCTCTGCATTTTAGAGGTGTGAATGAGCAATAAGAGTGACGGCAAAATCTCAATATTTTATCAAACAAGAGAAGTCCAGAAGCTGGCAATGGGTGCTGTTGACTGGCAACCTTCTCTTTATCCCACCAGTTCAAGATTAAGAACAGTTATGCGCAGAAAGCCCTTGCTTAATTTTGCGCGAAATTCTGAAATAATATTCAGCGTAAGGGTAAACGAAAACATAATTTATGAGTGGGTTTTGACCATGGATTTTAAGGTTTTACATTTACATTCACAAAAAAGTGCATGATAAAAATGCGCTTATTATTCAAAAGTATATCTTGTCTTCCACAAGTTTTAATACTGAAGGTCAACAATCAGAGATTTAATGCACTTTCTGGATTGGTGCGGTCCTAGGCTCGAGCCCTTTTAAAAATGATAATTTCGTAAAATAGAAGACAATAATATCCTCAGATAATTAAAGCCATTATGTGAAAATTAGCTTTATAATGCAGGCAGTGTAAAAGGTCTCGCCACACACATATATATTGGTACAACTTTAAAATTGCGAACTATATTTGTTTAACTAAGTACATTAGGCATTTCAACAGAACAACTTGCGACGTGAAATTTCCTTCTTTATGTATTTTCTGCTGTTTTTTAATACCTTGAAAATGTACAAAAATACAGTTTTATATTTTATCTTAATTTGGCATACTTAATCGCCTTTTATCATTGGCTTTTGATAATCTGATTTGATTATAGATGAAGTAAAAGTAGCCATAAGACAGAAATATAAGATAAATGGCGAGGAATCGATATTATTACTTTAGATTTTGACCCTCTTATTATGGTTTATTTTTAGCGCCTTTTGATAGTTCGAAATGGAAGTATACTTATCATAATTGCAAAAGGTGGGAACTGCATATTAAACAGAGGGACAAAAATATTCATAAAATTGTGCTTGAAATATCTGATATTAGTAATTTCAAATGTCGTGTTTCTTCAGCAATAAATTATCCTAAACTGCTTATTACTCGTAAACTATATATTTTCATGTGAAACTCAATCTTCCAATGTAAAATATTAGTTTGGGAATTAGTTTAGACGAAATTTTTAAGCAATTATACATTTTTAAATCAAAAAGTGCGTTCAGACTATTACATTATATTCCGAATATCTTAAATCTCAATAGCAAAATGAAAAATGCCTGTGATATATATATATATATAAGTTCAGCTTGGCCTATATAGTACATTAATATATACTACATTGTTATGTATAGCTTATACTATAAAGAGTTGTTCATTGTTACTGTCAAAAGACAATAAAGAGGGGCATGGCGTGATCTAAATTGAATGATTTTTTTTTTTAAACGACACACAACCAAAACTGAGTAAAGTTGCACTACGCTGTAGAATCTAATAAACTGCTATGACGTATGTATATTGGTTTCAGTATTCAGTAGCTGTGTCAATAGAATGTACACTTATCTAGCATCTAAGAATATTAACGGTCATACGTGTGTGACTGACGTTAAAATAATATTTATGAAATATACTGAAGTAGACTACAGCTGAAAACCACTTACCTGTGTGTGTTCTTTTATGGATTTTTAAATTTTCGCTTCTCGCGAATACTTTCCCACAGCCGGGGAAAGGACAAGGGAAAGGCTTCTCACCCGTGTGAACTCGTATGTGGTTGACCAGTTTGTACTTAGCTTTAAAAGGCCGTCCACTGCGAGAACAGTCCTGCCAAAAGCAGGCGTGATTAGTAGACTCTGGTCCCCTCACATGCTCCACTGTTAGATGGGTGACTATCTCGTGCATCGATGTAAAAGTCTTGTTGCATGGCTTACGTGGTGTTGGTTGATCTGGCTCAACCCATAAACACGTCATTTCCTGTTTGATTGGATGTCGCATGTACCTAAAGAAAGCCCCGGGACCATGAGGGCCCATATTCATATGTCCCATATTTATAGGGCCGTAAGGGCCTGCAAAATTATCCGTTCTTGACCCCACCATTTGGTTGAAACTATCAGCGCAACCATACATATCAGTTCCATTAAAAGACAGTCTTACTTGGCCGTTCATATGCCCCGTGCGGTGTGCTGACGGGTGATCAAACCCAGGAAACAGCACATGCGTTGATGTTGGGTCACCTGTGTGATGGGCAGCGTGAAACGTAGCCGAAGAGGGCACAAACATTCCATGATGAGGAGGACCGTTGCCACTGAGGGCGTCGTGAGTTGTCAGACTACCGCCCAAAGTTGGCATATTTTCGCGACGAATAAAGAATTCCCGAGCGCCGTAACTACCGACGTGGTGGTGATGAGCGTGAGAGTGGGGAACACCGTAGCCATTCGCCTGGGCAGGGAATTGGTGGTTTATTTGAGCCGAATGGTCTCCCGGCATTGTATTAGGTGGGGACAGTTTGATAGCGCCCATGTGGGCTGTGTCCATGAAATGGCTCAACATATTCGATGCACTTTGGTCCTGAGGTCCGCAGTGGTGGGTTGCTGCTGCCACGGCTTGGCTCAAAGGATAACCCGCTGTCACACCATTGAAACCTGGGTGTGAGTGAGCAAGACTGGGGTGAGATGGAACGTACGAAGTGGCCACGTCTACTAGGCGGAGAGCTGAATTTCGTTTACTAAACCCATGATCCATAATATTGCTACTTAAAGCTCGCGTTATCTTCTACAAGGTTCCCCTTGTACACTATACGCTCTACAAGTGCTGGCTAGCCGCTTCCTCTGTGATCCGCCAGTTGGTCTCCCACCGTGAAACACAGCTTGAGGGAGGAATGCTACAGTTTGATTGGGCAATATAGATAAGTAGGCGGGAATACTGAAAACCAACGAATCATTATCCCAGTTGTTCGTCCAAAAAAGGCGTGGCTCATTCTTACAAATTGTGTTCAAAACTTACTAAATTTATCAGTAGGTGCAGTAAGGCAAGACAAACAAAGAAGATAAATCAATTTTATAATAAATAATTTCTAGCATCATTCATCTGTCAGAGTTCTCTTTAATCCAGAAACATGCACAGAAATAATTATGACGTAGATGAATGATTACATAACGGAAAGTCGTACGTTAAATCATGTTTTTCATATTCTAAAAAAAAATTAAATTAACTATATAAAATTAAAAATAGTTGTGAAATATCCAATTAACAAAAGTATCCATTTACTTCAGACTGTCTATTTTTACATGAAGGTTAACACATGTTTTCAGTATTTTTGTACCATTCTGTTTACTTATATTGTATAGGTTAAATCTACTTTACAAGCCATGTTTGATTGAAATCGTGAATTAGTAAAGGAAAATTAATTAAATACTACCAAGTTGGCGTAGCATAGAATGAAAAGAAAATGTAACTACACTATTAAATAAAATAGGTAATTTCAAAGAAATATTTCTGTATTATGTCTCGTGCTTTACATAATATTTTATGAAGTATAGATGCTTATTTTGCGATTTTAAAGAATATATTCATAGAACGTAGAAGAAAGAGATACGACACTGTGCTTATACAGTATACGTTATCGTTATTTTTCATCTGCAACGCGTATATTAGTTTGATCTTTTACAACATAGCTACAATATAATGTAAGTATCGTGCCAGTGAATATAAAAACAATATTAGTACTGTTACAAATTGTCAGCTTATTTTGATTAACTTCCCTTTCTTTTCTGTTTGAAGACATTTTAGAACATCTGAACATCACTTTATTTTATTTTCTATCTATTTATTCATTACTCCTTGTTTTAAACTTGTAGCTTTATATATGTGTGTGTGTATCGGAACCATTGCTTTACTATTAAAGTTGACAGTAGTACAAAAACGTAACTGATTTTTTTGCGATTGTAAAAGAAAAATGATTATATTACAATTATGAGCGTATTATAAGATATAAGATGGGCGTATTATAAGATATAATATATGCATTATCGGTATTTGTTTGTTTGTTTTCATTTCGTGCAAAGCTACTCGAGGGCTATCTGCGCTAGCCGTCCCTAATGTAACAGTGAAAGACTAGAGGGAAGGCAATTAATCAACAACACCCACCGCCAACTCTTTGGCTACTCTGTTACCAACAATTAGTGGAATTGACCGACACATTATAACGACCCCACAACTGAAAGAGAGAGCATGTTCGGTGACGGATGTTCAAACTCCTTACCTCAGATTGCTAGTCGAGCGCCCTAGCCACTAGATTTATACAAGGCCTGGAGTTTAAACGGAACACCTATAATTATAAAAACTTGAATTGTTACCAAAAATATGTTTATCTTAAACAGTGTTTAAAACATTTTGAAATAAACGAAAATATTTGGGAAAGTTGTGTATAGCTATATAAATAACGATTAATCTTAGTTCTTAGTGCTTTATAATGTATATTTTCTTCCTTCGCCGGTTCTGCAGCATTTTTTTTAATTTTTTTTTTACAATGCAGAATTAGTTAATTCATAAAGCTAAAAACATTTATAACTTTCACAATAGATTTACCGGCACGCGTAAGCTGCAAGTGCAGTGCTAACTATATTCATATTAATGTGAGTACGTATTCGGCGTGCAAATTTTATATTTTATTGTTTAGCGATTCCTTTGAGTGATACATTATATTTCTATAGACTCGAACGTAGGCAGCTTACAACTAAACTGAGGCGTTGAGAAATTCAATTCGTAACTTAACGTTACCTGCAAAGCGTTGTATGTATCGCTGTTTGTTTGTTAGTTGGTTAGTTTGTTATTAAATACAAAGCTACACTACAGCTCTTCGTGGTGTGCCTACAGCGAGTATCGAAACCCAACTTTTAGTGTTACAAGCCCTCAGATTTACCGTTGAGCCACTTGGAGTGTGTATACTAATTAATAGTCTGGGCACGTTGAACACTAAACTACGACCTGGCCATTATATAAATTATACATAGACACGAAGATATATAAAAGAAATGATAGAGTAAATCTAAAAAAAAAAAAAGCATATGGTATCTTTAAACTATAATCCAACGATTAAATAAACCTATCATGTGTATATGAACATTGTGAATATTTGTTTATATGTATAAGAGCGTTTTAGATCATATTCTTTATATTTTAATACACACACACATATGTATGAATATCATATTACGTTTAGGCTTAAACCAGTTTTATTGTTGCTCAAAGTTAGCCTAATTATATATTATAAATGTACTAATAAACACGATATTTTAACACCCACATCAGCTAACAGTCACTGACAATTAGTACATACAATCCTCATGCCACAGCAGCTGTATTATTACATCTAGTATGCTAATACCTATAACAAAATACTCGGGAGGCACACACACACACACTAGGGAGTTGTGGGAGTTGCTTCTGCTTCCAAGAGAAAGCGTAGGATAGATTTAAGAATCAACAGCAAAAACAATACAAGTTCTAACATGTTATTTTGGAAGTGTCTATATCCACTAGGGCGTAACAGTACATTGTGATATTAGTACATTTGTTTGTCAATTATTGTGAAAATACGTGAGAATGTTTGTAAGAAAAGGAAAAATGTTAACATGTTATGATTAATACGTAATCTTACCTTGGACAAACGGATATCTTGGTAGTAGATACTGTCAAAGTATCCCTTTATAAATCGTGGTTAAAGCGCTCGACTCGCAATCTGCGAATCACGGGGTACGATTCCCCGTCACAGAACATGCTCGCACATTCAGCCATGTGGGAGTTATAACGTAATGGTCAATCCCACTATTCGTTAGTAAAAGAGTATCCCAAGAGTTAGCGGTGGCTAGTGTTGACTAGCTGCCTTCCCTCTAGTCTATCACTGCCAAATTAGAGATGGCTAGCACAGATAGCCCTGAGTAGCTTTGCGCGAAATTCAAAACAAAACAAACCAATTTTTGTAAGCCAACAAAAACAAACAAAAACGAAAAAAAAAGCTAGACCAGCTGTGCATCTTGTTATGTTTTTATTCTTTTTTTAGTTGTGTGGGAGTTCTTTAAGGTATGTCTACCCGAGAAATTTGGAATAATCAGGTCTTCCATAAAGCAAGTATAATATATCTAAAGTTATATCAAATTTAGTAATCAGGGTTTAAATTTTGAAAACAAAATAATGTTTGTTGAATAAATGTGTTATTCAAACAAAATATACGAACTTTGCATATGAAAATAAGGTTACGCTGCAGAAGTATTACATTTTTGTCTAAGGAACGCAGATTAGTTAAAACAAAAACAACAGTAATATGGAACAAACTGTCAAGACTTCTGACACTTTGTTCCATTTACTGTGGTTTCACACTAACTGTTACATATGACACTTTGTTCTTTTATAACTGATTAGATTTTCTGTATTACACACAGTTTATCCAAATAGACATTATTGTATTTATGTTTTTTCATTAAAAGTATCATATCGATTAAAATTTTATAGTCAATAGATCGAGGGAGGCCTCATAACTTAAGAGTATAAAAGTAAATGTCTTGAGTGGCATACGTAAATATACAGCTCTCAGCTGGAGTGGTGGTGGATCTAATCCTCACCGGCTAAAAACGGTCACCCACACAGTTTGGTGTCACTTATTCAGTCTAATGTAGAATCACAATAATTCTTACCTTTCAGTTATCATTTCAGCTTTTTTTTCTTTAACAATTGTAATAATGTTACTTACTTAATATTGAAAAGGCCGTAGAGTTTGATAATAGTAATAATGTTACTTACTTAATACTGAGAAGACCATAGAGATGGATAATAATAATATTACTGAGAAGATCGAAGAGTTGGGTAGTAAAAATGCTACTTACTTAATACTGAAAAGACCATAAAGTTAGACAGTAATAATGTTACTTGCTTAATACTGAGAAGACCGTAGAGTTGGGTAGTAATAATGTTACTTACTTAATACTGAAACGACCATAGAGTTGGATAGTAATAATGTTACTTACATGATACTAAGAATACAGAATACCGTTGAGTTGAAAGACGTAACCTACTGAATAATGAAAACGCTTAATCTAACTGCTTTTTTAGAAACTTGGTACCTAAAGTAGATCATCCAGCTTAGTTTCATGTTTCTGCTTGCTGGTATGTTAATAAAATGCACTCGCATAAAACTACGTTAGACCTTATGCTTGTTAGATAACACAAATAGAAATGTCACTTGATGTTGGGAAAAGAAACTTCACCTGTCATACCCAAGCTATAAGTCTGTATATATATATATGTGTGTGTGTGGGATTTTATAACTATAATATTACTCTTTACAACAAAAGACTGAAAAGCTGCTGCTTTTAATGTGAATTTTAACTTTCATACTGACTTTATGGCACGGAATATAATTTCTATATATAGTTTATGTTAATACAGTCGAAAACTCGATTGTTGGATCAATTATGCCACGTTTCTCAATTCTTTCTGTTTACAGTATTTAATGTTTAGCGTATAGATTAAAGTTAGAATTTCTCCAATCATTGTACGGTATTCCACGATTTTAACTTTAGATAAAAATGCTTTCAAAATGAGGATAAATCTAGTTGAAGATGTCGTTGTTTGAAAGGTATGCCCTCAGTTTACTGTAAAAAAAAACTCTAATTAAAGAAGCCCATAAACAGGGACACACACACGC